GTTTTTTATATTTAAAGAATTTGCCACTGACGATTCAAATGTGAGTTTTGAGCTGTGTAGAGTAGCGCTTGTTGTTTGTCGTTTCTCCGATCACAAATGCACACATGGTTTTATGTTTACGCAGCGCGATACACAACGTAATGCGTAAAAAGACAGTATAAGTCATTATAATCAGTAATTATGGCCCCACTGGATGCAACAAATGCCTCGTTTATAATGGGTTTTACTGGTTTTGTCTCGTCGTGCCAGGATACGGCATCACAATATTGTGACATAACATTTCCGTCACACACTTGAGGTATTCGGCCAATCACAACGCACTGGATAGCTGGCCAATCAGAGCACACCTCGCTTTTCAGACCGATGAGCTTTGTAAAAATCGACGCATTTCAGAAAGGCGGGGCACAGAGGAGAAATAGTAATGTACATTATGTGGAAAATAATGTGTTTTTTTTAACCTTAAACTGCATAAACACATTGCATCTTCTTTTTCTTTTTAGCAACGTCATATGACCCCTTTAAAACTCAAGTGATGTATATTTAAGGCGACCACTTATGTATAAATTAGAGTAGAGCTTGGGTTTGAGAAGTAAAGTCATGGATTTCCAGGGAATGCATAAACTGATGAAATGTATACCTTGAATGCAGTGTACAGTAAGTGGCTTTGGATAAAGTGTCGGCCAAATACATATATGTAAATGATTGTGATCTATGTTTTTTTACACTGATAGACTATTTATTCATAATCACTCAATGGTGCCATTTCAACAATTAAAAAAATGACTTTGTATTAACGAGATTGTCAGGATTGGACCTGTTTTGTCATGTGTTTCAGTTCCTGTTTTGCCTTATTTGGTCTTGTTCCTGTCCTTGTTTAGTTTGATTATTAATTGATTCCCCGCACCTGTCTGTCCCTCGTTATCCAGTCCTTATAAGCCCCAGTCTGTTCAGTTTGTATTTGTCGGTTCTACTTGTTTCTACCTGTGTTAACCCAGCGCCTATTGTGGATTATCCCGTGTTTTCGTCATTAAAGACTGTGAATGCTACTCCGTGTCTCCTACGTTCTTCCCGCAGCAGCGTAACGTGACAGATACAGAGATGCAGTCACCTCATGACTCTAGAGAAGCTTTTTTAGAGCAGTTGTTATTGCTATTCAATGTAACAGCTATCAGATGTCAAAACTCAAGCTTTTATGACATTTTATGAAGACTGAGATTCTTGAAATATAGGTGAACAGTGCAATAATTGTATGCTATAATGATTAAATTAGAAAATGTTTCAATTTATTTCATCTGGTTGAGTTGACATGGAATGGCCCTACAGTTTAGCAGTAAATACACACTGTTCTGAAAGAAGGAACCTTTCCCTAGTTGTTCATTAATTGAACCAAAACACTTTGTAATGTTTAATTTTGAATGATTAATGTAAATTGTAAATGTTTAATATTGCTAGTTAAGGTCAGACTCTTATTAAACCAAATTTTCATTATGACTTATTTCCACTGATTTCCTCCTAGCCTATGAGAACCTGCTACAGCAGCTAAAGAATGGTGAGGTGATGTCGGGTGATTCCTTCTACATCCGCGTAAACATGACAATGCAGGAGGATGTCGCTGGAACTCTCTCAGTCAAGTGTAACGACATTGTCCATGTGACAGACACTCACCATTCCATTGATGGCTCCTGGTGGGCCAGTCACGTGCACCCTTGTCACTTGGAAGACCTGAAGAGTGGTACTCTGCCCAACTACTACAGGTACACAACAACATTATTTCTCAAAATACTTTTTATTATTAGAAAAGCTGACATAGTGGCATGTTTTGTTTTTTACATTATACAGTGAATGTAAAATGTTCTTGTTTGTAGTTCCTAAGATTTAAAAGAAAACCACTTGTTTTTCTATTATGCTTTTGTGTAATAAATGCATCTATAAGTGTTAACTAATTTTTCAGAGCACAGAGGATCTTAATCAGGGCTCTAGAGGATATGACCTATCCTCGCAAAGCACAAAGAAAGGTGAGAGTCCATCAGTAAATTCACACACATTATTTTAGCCATCACAGAAATTATTTATCTTTTTATTCAACTTTCTACATAATTATGATTTATGAACTATATAGTAATATAGCAATAAAGCTTACAGACAATTTTGGTTAGTGTTAAAACAATTACACATGAATGCAATAGAGTGCTGCACAATGCTTAATACAGTGATTTAAAACTTAACTATAAAATGATTGTCTTAGCTGGCCTGTTGACATGACAAGTTAAAAGATTAGTCATAATGTATGTCATAGGTTAGTCATAGTGTTAGTCATAGTCCATGTTTTAGATGAAATAGTTGTGAAATATCTAACAAATTCTTGTCTAGCTTTGTATCGAATTATGGAAATGTTCGCCAAAATATTGAACTATGGGTATGGTATGAGGTCCTTTGGTGAGTGAATAATGATGCATAACTTATAACTCTGAAACTAGCAGTAGACAGAAAACAGTCAAACTAATTAAAGAAAAATTAATCATGCAATGGTTATCTTGTCAGTATGAGGACAACCTGTCCTCTATTGTCCTGTCTCTAGAAGATTAATGAGTTAGAGAGACAGAGACGTACAAAATTATTGTAGACTCGCAATGTTAGATTCTTTTGAGATGTGCCATGAAAAAGCACTTTTAGCACAGATTGGTAGAGTCTGTTACATTAGTCCTCAGTACCTGTTTTATATCCACAGGAGAAAACCTTATCTCATGAGAAGCAGAGAACGGCAAGGATCGTCATCACCGGTCAGCAAAGCAGAAACCCACTGTGGGTCAGTGTGGAGGACAACAACACCACAACACAGGACAGTTAGTAAAAGACAAACTCCATTTAGCTGTTTTACTCATAACTAGACATGGGAAATGTAAGGAAATGAACAATTCCAATTCCTGTTCTGATTCCAGTTCTCCAATTCCAGTTCTATTAACTATTCTTTTAGTATTTTGAGAAGGAAATTGCTGGGAAAAGAAATGCAATCCGACTGTGGAAGAGTGAGATTATAAACACATTTCATTACACCAAATATACAAAATAATGTTATTTTTAGCAGCATCATATGACCCCTTTAAAGAAATCCAAATAGTTCTTGGAAAAGGTTTTCACATAAGTCTTTTTAATGACTTTTCATAGACATTTTGGAGGCTGCATAAATGCAACACTAAACCAACAATTTGGTAACATATTTAATTTATTTCATTAAAATAGTACTGACAACACTTATAACTACACATTGTCATATAAACAACTAGTCAGTAACTACACTGATTTAAGTCTCACAAAGCTGAAGTTAAACCTAACACAGGACGTCACGGTAATCAGTATGTGTTTGCTTCACTAAAATAGGTGGCTTATTGTAATCATTCATTTGGAATGTATTATACTGTTGAAGTAGAATTGTTGTGGTGAAGAGTAGTGCAGGAAACACTGTCAGAATACTTTAGTAATGAACCAGTTCTGAATAAGAACAGATTCTTGTTTCCCAACCCTAGTCATAACTTTGAACTTTAAATGCAAGCTGTTGTGTGTGAGAGAGAAATGGTACTAATTTTGATCTTTCATTTGAACTTTCGAGGTAATCAGTGTCAGGCCAAATTCTGGTTTAGACCTTAAGTGTCAAGTAAATCTTTCTCTCCTGTAGGTGATGGCTGTGTGCCCAGCAGATGTGTGACCCTAATGCCCTACACCCTGGTCTCACCTCGTTTCCCACCCATCTGCCGACCAGTCCTCCTCCTCCCCACATTGCTTGGCCGTGTCTTGCACAAACAGTTGGCAGAACAGGATGGTTATCAGATCTGTCAGCCAGGTAAAAACACATTTTTTCACAAGTTAAACACAAGTTTATCAACAAAAGACTTTAATTTAATCAAAGTGTTTTCAACAAAGAGTGGAAAAAAGTAAATAATGGTACAATAGAGAAAACTCTCTTATTACAGTAAGAAATTCAGTCTTGAGTCCTAGTATCAACAGAGATTTCTTCCTCTTTACAGCATGATGAGGCTACACTATAAATGTTGACAGGAGACAAAAATCACTAGTATCAGTATTTTAAGCCTTAAAAGACTTTTTGGAATCTAATTAACTAATCCAGATTACATGTAATCAGTTACTACACTGTGCTGCGAACAATATAGTCAAAATGCTTAGCCATATTGTCAATAGTGTATTTTGTCAGTATTTCCTGTTAGCTATGGTTTTGATGACAATGATTGAAAATGCTCAAGGCTGCTCTTTTTTCTTTGTGGTGTAGCCTTTATCAGTTTCAACTGTACAAAGTTATATAATACTGCGTTGGATATTGATTGTATGATACTTGACAGGATTCACATACACTTTTATTGTTAATCTGTCAACAAATTACAGCACGATGTCATAAATGTGATAAAGAAAAGAAAAATAAAATTTTACAGCACAAAGTGGGGAAAAAAAATTAAAAAGGAAAACACATGAAATAGCCCAGAACTGTACCCACTGTATGGGGAATTACTGTGCAGTCTTTCTCCTTCATTAGTGAAAGTCAAAATTTACTTGAGAGCCATTCGTTAATTTAGGACACATTCACAAAAAAATTCTTAATAGAAATGTATAGAAAATATGCTTGACAGATTAGGAGAGCTGGTTCAACCAATTTGAATGTGATGACTTACAGGGGCGTAGATTACGCGGTTTTTCGGGCAAGTGTGTTCGTATAGAGGTTTTCAAGAGCCGGTGTGAATAAATAATATAGATTTAAATTTAAAGAGACAGGATAGTCTGTGCATGATCTGATGTTTTATTCGGACCCAGAATAAGGCGAGATGAACATCGCGGAGCGCTAAACACTCTGTGCAGTGTATGTTTCATTCATACTCGAAGCCGGAGGGCGCTCTCTCGCAGAAAGTCGTACCAGGAAATTCCTAATATGGACAAAAGCGTCCAGCTATCGCTGTATGAAAACAGTTGATTTCACAGAAAAAACAGAAACGTTTAGAAACATGAAGACATTAAACATACAATTTCGACAATATATGGTTTATTTGTGTTTGTCAAGTCATCTCCAGGTAATAAAGTATATGAACAATGCAGTGCTAATTGACATAGTCAATTTATTACAGTATATAAATTATTCTGCCTTATTATGTGATAAAAAAGTGTTTGTAGTATATAAACAAATGATTATTATTGGTTATTGTCCAGCAGTTATCTGATTTCTAAGCCAATGAAAAGCTAGAAATTAGAGAAAAAATAAAGTTGCCTATACACTACCAGTCAAAACTTTTTGAACAGTAAGATTTTTAATGTTTTTTAAAGAAGTCTCTTCTGTTCACCAAGCCTGCATTTATTTGATCAAAAGTACAGCAAAACAGTAAAATTTTGAAATAGTTTTACTAGGCTATTTAAAATAACTGTTTTCTATTTGAATATATTTTAAAATGTAATTTATTGTTTTATTTATTGTTTATTGATTTCAAAGCTACATTTTTAGCATCATTACTCCAGTCACACGATCCTTCAGAAATCATTCTGATATTCTGATTTGAGCTTAAAAAACATTTATTATTATCATTGTTGAAAACAGCGGAGTATAATTTTTTCAGGTTTCTTTGATGAATAGAAAGTTCAGAAGAGCCGTATTTATCTGAAATAGAAATCTTTTGTAACATTATAAATGTCTTTATCATCACTTTTGATCAATTTAAAGCATCCTTGCTAAATAAAAGTGTTCATTTCTATAATTTATTTTCCAAAAAATAAAAATTATACTGACTCTAAGCTTTTGAATGGTATAGTGTGTTACAAAAGCTTTTTATTTCACATAAATGCTGATCTTTGGATCCTTCTATTTATCAAAGAATCCTGAAAAAATGTACTCAACTGTTTTGAATATTGATAATAATAATAATAATAATAATAATAATTAAAAATGGTTTCTTGAGCAGCAAATCAGCATATTAGAATGATTTCTGAAGGATCATGTGACACTGAAGACTGGAGTAATGATGCTGAAAATTCAGCTTTGATCACGGCAATCATTTTAAAATGTATTCAAATAGAAAGCAGTTATTTTAAATAGTAAAAATATTTCACACCATTACTGGTTAGGCTATTCAGTGTATACAGGTGACTTGATGATGTGAACGTTGAAGAAGTAGATTTCAGAATTTAAATTGTGATCTGAGAAATGTACCAAAGTGACCCTTTGATACATGTATACATGGCCATCTGTGATAGTTTCTTTTTGTCTGACTTCAGTTTTCCCTCTGTATAGTCTTATTCATCTGCTTTGGTCTCTGGCTGCTTCCTCCTTTCCTCACTTCTGTCATCTCTTCCTCTCATCTTTTTTATTTTAGAGTTGCTGATGGCAAGTGAGCATGCCATTCAAATGCAGAAGGGGGAGATTCTTGAAGAGCGTGACTCGAAAACACATCTTTGCTATACGTTGCAGGGAGTGGAGAAGATCATGAAGCGGGTGTGTCATAAAACGTTGCTATCATATTACTAATGGCGTGATATAGCAATTGTGTTAAGTACGTTGAAATAAAAGATTAGAGATGAGTGGTTTTACAGTAATAAAATACAATAATAGGAATTACAATAATCATCACGAGAACTTATAAAGCCTAAAATGCTTTGTAAAAATTAAGGTCAGAGTTGAAACTTTATTTTAATATAGAAATGTAATGTATGAGAAAGTGTATAAAATAAATTGTTCTAATTTAGATGAATAGATTTATATACAGATAGATAGATAGATAGATAGATAGATAGACAAATAGACGGCATAAAAGTCTGTGTCCCCACTTTAAAGGGATAGTTCACCCAAAAATTAAAATCTGATGTTTATCTGCTTACCCCCAGGGCATCCGAGATGTAGGTGACTTTGTTTCTTCAGTAGAACACAAACGGAGATTTTGAACTCAAACCGTTGCAGTCTGTCAGTCGTATAATGTAAGTGGATGGGAATCACGACTTTGAGAGTCATAAAACATACACAAACAAAACCAAATTAAGCCCTGCGTATCGTGATGATGCATTGATGTGTAAAGACACAAAATGATCGGTCTGTGCAAGAAACTGAACAGTATTTATATCGTTTTTTACCTCTGATTTTCACCACAAAGTCTGAACTGTCCTGAGTGCGTTCGCGTCTTCTTCTTCAGCCTGCACGTGAGGCGTCTTCTTCTTCTTGCTTTACGGCGGATCGCAGACTTATAAGTGCATTACTGCCACCTATCTCTCAAATGGACCATTGACACTC